GCTATATAATGGCGTGTTTCATCAACATGGGGCTGTGACGTCACATGACCTAGATTAATATTCATGGATTTCTTACAAATCGGGCGCCGGATTTGAAATGGAATACGTTATTGAATATATATTTCTATGTATAAAAACGTTACAGAAGTTATAAAATTTGACTTCAATTGTCCTTTAACAATAACGCATGTGCTTATCTTGAAGATTCATGCGGTTGCCCGTCTGCGAAAATTTCTTTGGACATTTGCTGAAAAAATATGGTAATTCCGCGAGGCCGTGCTCTGGAAACTTGTTAGTATGACAGAATGTTCCGGGAGTCCGACAGTAAATCGGGGAGCATTTGACTCCATACTCGCGTTAATTTCGCACCCTGCCTAAAGGTACCCAACTTCAAAAAATGCCAAGAAAGGACAGCCTTCACACTAGAGCTGGGGGTACTAAATAAGCATATTAGCATATAAGCATATGTATTATAAATGTAGTAATGTTATGATAAAAAACATTTCACGAATATATGAACTGCGAATACTCACCACAATGTTACGGCCATCCGACGTGATAACCGAGACAGTATCTGTATTACATATTTAAAGGTGAAATTCAAAAGACTACACACATGAAAAAATATATACACATGGTTGTACTCATGCCAGGGGGTCATACGGTAGACACGAGCAGGCAAATGATAATACTGCATGTACGAGCAGGTAAATGATTATACTGCATGTGGCAGAGCATAAGTGGTAAGAAATAAAGATTTTCGAAACTCGGTTTTCTTAATATCATCATTACTATTTAAACCGCTTAACACTATTGCATCCATCAGATTATTTTGACATGAAAACGGCTGTTTTCAGTACGCATCTTTGTATTGGCCGTGGCTCCTCGACTGGTGACCGGTCACCAATGTTCCGAGGCTAAACGACCGGCTAACAGGGTGGACCGATCAACAGGGAGCCTCCCTCGCACAAAGCACGCTGGTCGCTACGGCGGTGGTGCTGCCACTTAGTCAATTTGTTGTTTTATCAGAAAACTCTACAGTGGACCACCGTCACTACCGTAGTACAGTCACAGTACCGCTTGGGCCGGCGTGACTAGGATGATCTAGCTCTAGCTACTGTAATAGCCCGCATTCATTTAAGCTCCCTGCGGCAGGAGGCGTTAACCGCCGAAGGGTAAACCAGATCCGTACGCGCGAGGGTACGTTCCGGCAGTACCGCTGGGGGACATAGGGGACGGCGGTCTGATGGACTATGAGCAGTAGTAAGGGTGGGAGGTAAGGTAGGGAGGTAGTAGCTAGTGAGTAAGTTAGTAGGCTGAGTACTAGTATATATTAATTGAGGTGCAAAATCCACTTGTAGGGCAGCGCATTAGTTATCGACGAAGTATGCACAGATTTCTGTGTATCAAATCAACGGATGGCAGCGAATTTCCGTTAATCCAGATGAACGGGAATATCTAGAGAATGACGTTTGCGAAAGAGGTGTTAATCCGTAAGTGCTGCGCGATCTTGCCCGGCAGTTCCGCAGGAGCGAGCGGGCGACCTCGCGGGAGACGTCCTACGACAGTGAGATGCAGCGCTGCAGGCGTATGGATCGCGTGCGCACGATGAATAGGCCAGCGGGCAGCCAGGAAAGTCCATAGGGCTGGCCTAGCGAAACGGAAGCCGCATTTTAGTGGGAACACAGAGGGCAGTTCATTTGGAAGCGTGAACAGTGTTCACTTGTTATAAAAACTGTAACCGAGTAAGGGTCTGTTCCGTAACCGAGCTGCTGTCATAGCCGATAATCACAGAAATGACTGTCGAAATTCTGACATTCGCCGAACCTTGCCCAGTAATGAAACGGCGTGTCAGAACAGGAAGAACACCTAACGCGGCGCTCTTCGCGCCCCAAGCTGCCAAGTTTATGCAAGGTTCCAATGGCGAGGGCTCGTAACGGGAAGTTGTAAAGGCAGTGCGCCGCCTGCCCGCGCCTAATACCCATAAAGACTGGCACTCTCTCCACCTCATACTCGGCTAGCTAGTCACTCAATGGCTTAATCGAAGGTGGAGCGAGTCCTAAGTCCTATTATATATGCCTTTGCACCTCGCAACCTCTTCTCGAAAGAGAGTTAAGGCCATATACTATAACATTAAGAATTTGGTAGTAAAATAAATTTCGTATTTAGTTAGATTATGATTTTTATTGAAACAAGACTTCAAAGTGGCGGCTGTGTCTTAGTAATAGGGTATTCTAACCGCTAAGCAAAGACCTGTTTCTTGGAGCTAGTCAGTAATGTAGTAGTACTATACTATAAAAGTTAACTATAGTAGTAGTAGTAGTACTATTAAGTCGTAGTAGTCTAGTAAAGCTAGTACATAGTGGTTCAAGATAGAGAACATGGTCCCAATATATAATGGCCCGAATGTATGACATGGGAAATAAAAACCAAATGACATGTCATTTCATTCAATATAGAATATAATATTATATCATATAATTAGGTTGGGTTATGGTTATGGTTCGTTCTTATAGATACCCCATATCTAGTAATAAACAGAGTTAGTCATTATTACTAATTACTATTAGCTCGCTGCCGTCCCTGGTAGTTACTAAATAGTACTAGTACTAGTAGTGCTGGTAACTTAGAAGTACTTACTACTACTAGTACTAGTAAGTAAGTACTTAGTAAGTAATTATTGTAACATGTCTTGTAAATAATAGAAAGTAATAGTAATTCGTAGGTGTGGATTGTGGAATGTTAATACAATACCGAGTCTTAACGTTTTCTCTACTCTTAAATTTCGCCTATAATGCACCATGTAAAATGCCGGTCAGATATGCTCATCTGCAACACACAATTAGACCGAACACACGACGCAGGCTGTGCCACTAAGCACTTGAAACGTTTCAATAAAATATAAATGCTAAAGAAACAGCGAAATCTAATAACTAGTAGTAGTAACACAAACAATGAGATGCTGTGCTGCGTGGCACAAACAACATGAGATAAGGAGAATTACACATATATAGAACTGGTGTAGATAGAAGTCGAACAGTTCGACAGGTTCCAGACGCTAACACTTACGTGAGTGTAGGCGATAATGCCGGAGTAAAAAGGTGGCCAAACGGGTACCAGTCCTAATATGGCTCTAAGATTCCGGCAGTTCGTTGGCGCCGTCTATCGGGCGAAGCACATTATGTATTTATCCTCGATCAACAACAACAAACAAAGAAGAAACTAGAAAATACGTTGTTAATTACGGCAAAGAAAGCGCCCGATAACGAACTTCGAATTGGAAGCATTTCTAAGAAATTGTCGAGCTTCCTGGTTAGTCAAACGCGATCGTCGAATGGCGCAGAACTCCCTCAATTCAGCGAAGTTGATGCTATGCGTTATATATGTAAACCGTGTAAGGTGAAGAAGGGGGCAGCAACGTTTGTGGTTAGAGCGCCGCTAGCGGCGTGTGGCGCGCTTCGCGCGATATCCGCTGCAGAATGTCAAAGGAATGATGCAAAAACCTAACCCGTAACCCTAAGCCCAAACCCTAACCCCCTACAAGCCACACACTCTCCTATCTTCGTGAACATAAGCCTAAGGACTGCGGCTAAGCGACAGGGCGTCATCGTTATGTTAACGGATGCGCGATTCACGCGCTGCGCTGAAGTTATGGAACCTAAAACCATGTTACAAAGTACATTTGATAAACATAGAATTTTCACATTTACCACTAACCTCAACCCTAACCCAACCCTAACGCCTAACCCTAAACACCCAACCCTAATTCGATCCGGCTCATGCGTAACCATACCGGGAATGACGCCGCCTGTCGCTAGCCCGATCTAGCCTAAGCGTGCCCTAGAAGTGACTCGCAGCTAGGAGCCTGCATACCTGTAATTGTAATTAAGTGTGTAGGTTGAGGATTAGGGTTAGGGTTAGGTTTAGGGTTAGATTAGGGTTGTTAGGTTAGGATTAGGGACAATGCACCATAAAAGTTTTATTTCAAACGTGGAAGTTTTTAACACGTGATATGTAAAACCAATGGATTGGAGGTATGCAAGGCCCTAGCTGCGAGTTCCCTAAAGTGGACTTTCGCCTCATTAATTATTATATGGAAAATAAATAACACTACTTCCAATGAAAGGATACGATTCACGAAGTTTTCTAATGCAGAAGCCATCGCAATGTACTGTATATTTGTCAATGAAAATGTATTATACCAAGTTCCCCGTACAGAACTACACAAAAGTACATACAGACGGGTACACAACAAGAAACCGTAACGTAACGGAGCGGAAGTTGTTTAACACATGAGGGCAGCACCAAGCAGAGCGAGAGCGCCATCTGTCTGGAAGTTTGCGGTGGTTTGTAACTTGTTTATTTTCTCCCACCGCGCTCTCTTTGAACGTGCGCGGTTTGCGCGAAATCACGCTGGCTGGAAGCGTGATTTTTTTTCCTAGGTCAATCAAGAACATAGGGCTCAGGGGAGGATCCAGGGCTGAAGCTAGACAGTATTTTTCCAAGATTTTAAGGGCACATTCCCCAAAAGGGCACAGCCAACACAGTGGCGGCGTTATAGGCGTGAAGCACATGGCGGGGGGTCTGGGGGGGGGAGTCTCCCCCAGGAAATTTCAAAATTTCAAGGGTCCCTGGCAACAAAAATGAAGCAGCCATTGAGCGCACCATTTGGGCAAGCAGCAATAGCTAAACCATATGGAATTTATATTTCTGCTTTATTTTGGCCTGCGCTTTGCATACCAACAATAATGCAGAAATGATTCAAGCACTTCCCTTCTTTTTCAGAATATCAAAAAGCTAGTTTTGTTACCATGTAAAAAATTTTGATTTCTCTTCAATAGTCAATGAATCAGAAGAAAAAGAAAACAAATAAAGAATATAGCCAAATTCCATCAAATTGTTTTCTGTATTTTTTAGCGCAAAATTTCGAAGGGCACTTTGAAATCTAGACCGTATTTCCCAATACGGCAAATACGGTCTGAATCCGCCCCTGGGGCTCTAGTGAGCGCTGCCATTGGTTGATACAAATCACGTGCCTCAAACTCCTGTTTCACTGCATTGTGATCCTAACCCTAACCCTAACCCAAACCCTATTTAAAAAAATATACAAAATATAATTTTTAATTGTTGTAAAAATTAATTGTTGTTATTGAAATGTTGTAAATAAATTATGTAAATATTTGCGTTAATTGGAAAAAAATTGTTAAACGAATAAAGATAGAAAATTACAGAAAACAGGAAAATAATTAGAAAACGGGGTCCACCGACATTTCAGACTTGAATTGCGTGCTGTACTTGCTAGGCTATTGAGACATACAGGAATTACGAATTTTGAATGTGCTATAAATATGACGATACTGTGACACCATTGAGCGACGAAAGAAGCTCAACCAATAGCAGCGCTCACTAGAGCCCTATGTTCTTGATTGACATAGGAAAAAAAATCATGCTGGCTGGAGCAAGGAGCTAAATATAACAAGGAGAGGAAGCGGAATGGATGTGTGCTTTTCGCTTCAAGGGCGCCATCTATAGACCATAATCAGCTGAAACGGCTGTGCAGCACTGATCTCTGAGTACGACACGGGAGGGATTCCACCTGGCAATGGCGGCCAGAATCGTTGCTCAATGACGTCACGTCCGTACGGACTCAAACTCCTGTTTTAAGGTGCATTGTGACCCTAACCCTAACCCTAACTCTAAAAAATAACCCTAACCCCATTAAAAAAAAAATTTCAACTTGTCAACCGGCGGCCATTGCTCAGTGGAATCCCTTCCCTGTGAAACTTTCCTGATCTATACTATAGGTGTACAACAGTAAGCTGCCGCAATTGTTCACCGTTGCACTATTTCGTCTCTAGAAAAAACCTTTTTTGGCCGAGCCACGGCAATTTTTTGGCCAAAATGGGAATTGCCATTAGTCAGTTCAGGTTCAACGGATTTTGCTCATTTTTAGTATGTGAATGAATAAGGGCTAGGGGTTTTGATATAAACAAAAAATTATGCAAATTAAGTAGGGTTTGGCAATTATATAGCATATTATATAGACACGCAGATAACAAACAGTCTGTGGTGTCACACTCGTCTGGTTCGTTTTACAAGATTTCATTGACAATATCTTTAAAGGCCTTCTTTAGTGATATCTCTAAACTGTCAAATNTTATAACCTAAATTAGCTGAAAATAACCCTAGAACCTAGAGGCTACTGTTCCTTTAAACTGTATAAACGGCAAGTAGATCATACACTCAAAAATAAATAATTTAGCTTTAGAACCGTCAGTGATTGGAATTCCCTGCCCGAAGAAATTGTCATAACAAAAACGATAAATGAATTCAAAAACAAAATTGACAGGCACTGGTCCCACCTGCAATATGACTACCTTAACTAGTCACATAGTAATGATGTAATGATCTGATCACATGATGTAATGTGTACAGTGGGAATTTACCTTCCAACGTATACTCATAATACCTACAACACCACGACCGCTCGCAATGATGTTTAGAATGACTTAACATCGCGAGGGACTATGAATAAAATTGAGGCTGGATGTATTAATTAGACCGGATACAGGCCCTTGGGCTTATTCCTGTAAACTGCTATTCTATTCTATACCGGACCGTACCCAGGGTACGTTCCGGCAGTACCCTGGGGGACATAGACCCTATAAGCGTTACTAACAGTACTCATTACAATAAATTAAAGCCATCTACCTGGAAACATCAGACCTAAGGAAGTCTATCGGAGAGATGGATGAAAATTTCGTTAATTGCATGATATTGATATTGATATATTGATATTGATTGTTGTTTGTTTTGTTGATTTTATGTTGTTTTGTTAAGGTGAGCCAATGATGGTAAATAAACACAAACTTTATTTACTACCATTTCTAATGTTTCTGCCGATAGTTTCCTGTAAATGCCGTTCAAATGCTCCTCTGTAACACACGATTACACGCACGCACGCACGCCGTTGTCCCGAGGCCGCTGTGCACAAACAACAAGAATATAGAGTTATTCTTGTTGTTTGTGCACAGCATCATGCGTGCAGTGTGCTCGTGTGTTGCAGAGGAGCATTTGAACGGCATTTACAGGAAATTATTGGCAGAAACAATAAGACTGGTAGTAAATACAGTTTGTGTTTATTTACCATCATTGGCTCACCTTGACATCGTCCGGAGAGAGTCAAATACTCCCTGATTTACTGTCGGACTCCCTGATTTGACATATGCAGGAGTCCGTGTGACTCCCTGAAAATTAATTCTGCTATATACAGTACTAACTAGTTCGTTCCAGAGCATGGCCTCGCGGAATTACCGTATTTTTTCCAGCAAGTGTTCCAAGAAAATTTGGCAGACGTGCACTGCAAATGTCCTGCTACGCAAGGCAGCTAATACAGTGTATACGTGGCGTGCATTACATACATTGTATAAGTCGACAAAATGACGACTTACGCGTAAGTCGTCATTTTCGTATGTTGACACAATTATGCTGGTCCCAAAAGTGTCGACTTCTGCGAGTTTTACTGTAGTAGTAGTACTACTATGCATCTAAGATTAGAGTAAAGGCCAATATTATCTGCAGCGACAAGGTCAACTTTCAGGATCCTAAACTAGGATTCGGGGGGCATAACAGTAGTAATTAAAAATTTAAAGTATTTAGAACCTGTGATTATGTAATAGTACTAATACTAATTGTAGCTCTGCCAGGTGTAGTAAAGTAGATTGTAATAGCAGCACTCGAGACACCACCAATATCATGTAAGCTCTTTCCTGTATTGTAATCCTAATAACAACACATGTATATTTTCAGCAAGGTAAATGTCATTCCCAACATGTCAGATCGACTTACACAACTTCAAGATGCCGTCAACCAGATGGCTGACCATTTTTGTAACAGTATCGGTGAGTACAATCCAGTGAACAATGTGTTGTGAACAAAATAACGAAGTACTCAACTAATAACGATTAGTGGTAATACTATATTAGTACGTAATAACGGTTAAAGGAATACTTTACTCTAGAATTTGAGAGTATATTATGATAGTACTAGTACTAGTTGATTTATAAATAATAGCACATACCTATAAATATCTATAATTACGCATTCACGTTTGTCATAAAACAACATTGAATTTCGAAATCTTCATTTTTGGGCGCTGACATGACACCCGCGATCGTGCTGCCACCCTGAAAAAGTTGCGCATTAGCCAATTTATTTTTCACGTTACAGACCGAGGGCTAATCACAAAAGTGCAATTATATTTATACCTAAATGCTATTTAACCGAACGATATTCATTTTAGCACAAATTTATCCATATTATAACTGAAACTATATGTCGTTTATAAGATATTGCAATCCTTCTGCTTTTAAATTAATAAATAAGAAAGACCCTCGGTCTGTTGCTCTTGGCTGAAAAGTCCGTTTGCGCAACTTTTCAGATAGTGCGCTTTGAGTGGCGCCACCGTCGTTGTAATCAAACTGTAGTCGTTAGTTTTAAAACATTTAAAAAAAACATTTCTAATGGTGATTGAACCATGAAATTTTTAATGTAGCGTAATTTTAACCTAAATCAACTGAAAATAACCCTAGAAGCTAGAGTCAAGTATTCCTTTAAGTAGTAGGTCTTTTGAGATTGGTTCACATAAACATAAATTGATAAGGTTGAAAATTCCAGTGGAAAATCTTTCTTAACTGACTGTATGGTATAATTGTGTATTTAATCATTGGTTGTATAACATAGGGGGAGTTTCTGTATACTGGTTGTATGTACGTACATTAAAAAAAGTTTGCGTAACAGTGATAATTTCATCCAGGAGATTTGGTCTTAGATTGGCCATGGTTTAATTGTACGTTCACAGGCATACTTCAGCAGTGTGCTCCACCAAGCAGCTTTCCTGAGTTTGACAAAGGAGGAATGAAACCACCAGCCACACAGCAAGAAGATTACGCAGAACTTTTCGCAAAGCTCATTGCTAGAACAGCCAAGGACATTGACATACTAGTAGACTCACTTCCCAGCGAAGAATCTTCTGCAGAGCTACAGGTCAGAGTCATATAGTAGGTCTTTTGAGATTGGTTCACATAAACATAAATTGATAAGGTTGAAAATTCCAGTGGAAAATCTTTCTTAACTGACTGTATGGTATAATTGTGTATTTAATCATTGGTTGTATAACATAGGGGGAGTTTCTGTATACTGGTTGTATGTACGTACATTAAAAAAAGTTTGCGTAACAGTGATAATTTCATCCAGGAGATTTGGTCTTAGATTGGCCATGGTTTAATTGTACGTTCACAGGCATACTTCAGCAGTGTGCTCCACCAAGCAGCTTTCCTGAGTTTGACAAAGGAGGAATGAAACCACCAGCCACACAGCAAGAAGATTACGCAGAACTTTTCGCAAAGCTCATTGCTAGAACAGCCAAGGACATTGACATACTAGTAGACTCACTTCCCAGCGAAGAATCTTCTGCAGAGCTACAGGTCAGAGTCATTATTCTTATTACTATTATTATTATTATATTTATTACTACTATTATTATTGTTATTGTCATTATTATTATTATTTATTGTTTGCATTTAACATCAATTGTGGTCATTGAGTACTAATGATTCGTCATATTTCAAACACTTGTTCTAGTTCGAATAAAAAAAGCTTTTGTTTTTGCCCCCATAGGTGGCAGCAGTGAAGAGATTGGAGGAGGAGAACAAGGAGGCGGCACAGAAGCTGGAGGAGGTCGTGAAGCGCGGCGAGACCGTGCTCGAGCAGATACAGAGGGCGCTCAAGGACATCGCGCAGTCGCAGATCGAGATGCAGAAGCTTGAGGCCGGCTCGACAGCGGCGGTCGCCGCAGACGCGAGACCGTAGCCCCGGGCGACCGGTGTGCGTCGCCGCGGCGACATGTACGAGGCAGAGACGCTCGCGTACTACATGACGCTCTTGCCGCTCACGGTGCCCGTCGTGCTCTTCTTCATGTTCTGGGCGTGGATGGGCATGCAGTTCTTCAAGAACAACTAGCGGCACGGCGTGGGATGGAGCGCGGCACGACAACACGCGAGCAGACGAGGGCGTCTCGTCGGCACGACGACAGAGACTGACCGTCGGCCGCCGCGGCGACGATGCCGCGCGTCAAGAGATACCCGGCGAGGATAGCCGAGTCTGAAGCGTTTCAGGTGAAAGCGACGGCAGGTGGCGATCCGCAGGACTGTGTGATGAGCGAGTGCAAGAAGATACCAGCGACCGGGAAGGTGGCAACCAGGAAGACAACAACCGTGAAGGCGGCAACCGGGAAGGCAACGACCGGGAAGGCAACGACCGGGAAGGCAACGATGGGGAAGGCAACGACCGGGAAGGCAACGACCGGGAAGGCAATGACCGGGAAGGCAACGACCGGGAAGGCAACGACCGGGAAGGCAACGATGGGGAAGGCAACGACCGGGAAGGCAACGACCGGGAAGGCAACGACCGGGAAGGCAACGACCGGGAAGGTGGCAACGACCGGGAAGGCAACGACCGGGAAGGCAACGAGCGGCAACGACCGGGAAGGCAACGGCCGGGAAGGCAACGTCCGGGAAGGCAACGACCGGGAAGGCAACGACCGGGAAGGCAATGACCGGGAAGGCAACGACCGGGAAGGCAACGACCGGGAAGGCAATGACCGGGAAGGCAACGACCGGGAAGGTGACGAGTAAGCACAACGGGAAGGTAGTGAAGTCTCGCGCGTTCCTCTGTGATGTCTGTGGCGCCACCTTTGCGTACAGGTCTCACTACGTGCTTCACGTGCGGCGACACACGGGCGAGCGTCCATACGCGTGCGCAGCCTGCCCCGCGGCATTCGCTCAGCGTGGACAGCTGATCATGCACACGCGCCGGCACACGCGCGAGCGCCCCTACGCGTGTGACGCATGCTCCCGCGCGTTCGCTCGCTCCGATGACCTCGCCGCCCACCAGCGCACGCACACGGGTGAGCGGCCCTTCAAGTGTGACACGTGCGAGGCAGCCTTCACCGTCGCCAGCAGCCTGCGCGCGCACGTGCGCTACAAGCACACGGGCGAGCGACCTCACGCATGCGACGCCTGCGGCCGTGCGTTCGCGCGGGCGAGCGACCTGCGGAGGCACCGGCGCACGCACACGGGCGAGAAGCCATTTGCTTGCGACGCGTGCTACGCCGTGTACACGGAGGAGCGCAACCTGCGGCGGCACCGTGCGACGCACAAGCCAGCCACTGCCGCTCACCGCTGCGGCGACTGCGGGGACGCGTGCCGCACAGACGCGCAGCTGCGGCGGCACCGACGCGTTGCGCATGCGCCGCCGTGCGAGTGCGCGCTTACGCCGTGCATCTGTGCCGCCGCCGGGGATGCCGTGCCGCCACGTCGTGAGCACAAGTGCGGTGAGTGCGGGGCTGTGTTTGTGTCGAGTGCCGGGCTGCGGCGGCACACGCGCAGCACGCACACAGGCGAGCTTCCGTACGCGTGCGGTGCGTGCGAGCGACGCTTCGTCGACGCGAGCGCGCGTCTGCGACATGTGCGCGGCGCGCACACGCAGGAGCGCGCGCACCGCTGCGACACGTGCCCGGCCACGTTCACCGCAGCCTACCTGCTGCGTAGCCACGCTGTGACGCACGCCGGCACCCCCGCCGCGAGACCGTACGCGTGCGCACGCTGCGGCGGCCGCTTCCGCCGGGCGTCGGACCTGCGCGCGCACGCACGCACGCACAGCGACGCGCGGCCCTACGCATGCGGTGAGTGCGCGGCGGCGTTCAAGCGCGCGAACCACCTCGCTCTGCACCGGCGCACGCACACGGGGGAGCGACCGTACGTGTGCGACGCCTGCAACGCTCGCTTCGCCGACTCGAGCCACCTGCGACGTCACTCGAAGAAGCATACGGGCGAGCGTCCATTCGTCTGCTCGGCCTGCGAGCGCCGCTTCAGTGAGAGGAGCAGCCTGAAGGCGCACCAGCTGAGTCACAGCAGGGAGAAGCCATATCAGTGCGAGTTGTGCAGTGCGGCGTTTGCGCGCGCGAGCACGCTGCGTCTGCACCAGAGGACTCATGCGCGCGGACAGCCACTACACCGCTGCGACTGCTGCGCTGCTGCCTTTTCCAGCAGTGCAAGCCTCAGCCGCCACAAGAAGGTATCTCTGTCACATTGTAGACTCGATTCGATTGCGGGTGATTGTAGCTTTTAATCATTTACGATCCTTGTATACTACAGGCTTCTCCCTACGTTGCGCAAACCGGGCGCGCGCGCCCCGTTTAGGGAAACTCCCCCCCCCCCGTTTCAATGGTTGCGCCACGTATTTAAAAAAAAAATGGGAATGGCTACATGAGGAACAGGCTAAGTGAGTCAGCTTTGGAGGCGCTGCTGCTACTGGCAATTGAGGGGCCACCTCGGCAAGAATTCCCATTCGACCCACTGGCAGCAAGAACAAGTCCGCACCTGCAGCTACAGCACACACGCATCTATTGACTATATATAACAACGTTATATATAGTTGTTATAGTAGTTATAGTTGTTATAGTAGCTATAGTTGTTATAGTAGTTATATAACTATATATAATGTTGTTATAATTATATAGTCAATAGATGCGTGTGTGTTGTAGCTGCAGGTGCGGACTTGTTCTTGCTGCCAGTGATTACCAGGCCCCCGGACCCCCCCTACAGATTTATAGTGCACCGGACATTTTCGCACGCATGCTCAGCTGTACCTAATGCTAGCGATAGTACAGTACCGTAACTGTATACCTAACAGTAGCTCTGATTGTAATGAATGTGGAATCCACGTACGAATCACGGACGCTCGTGATAATGAAGTAGGCTGTGTTGGGGAGGGGAAACTAGGGGGGTCCGGGGGGCGTGTTTTTTTACCGTACCACTAATTAATGCGTAAAATCGCCACCACACCATAGACGGTATTTGGGGTACTTGTATATATAAGATAGCCGAGTCGGTGTACAGTTAGTGTTGGGTTTGGGACAGGTTGGCTGTTTTTACTTGTGTGTGGTCTGCAGTGCATGCGTAGTGTAGGACGTTTACGCATTAGTGGTACGGTAAAAATACACGCGTCCGGGGTCCTGGTCGAATGGGAATTCTTGACGATCGATTCCCGCGCTGTCAAACTTTTATTGTCGTGGAATTTAATCGGGGCGGAGGTAATTTAAACGGGGCGCAACAATTGAAACAGGAGGGCGACGCGGAGCGCGATTGGCTGCAGGCAGGACGCGTCATAAACAGCCGTGATTTGTTTACGCGTCGCCCTCGACTACCGGGGCCGATCGGAATCGTGAATCGTATACATTTTTGATGAATCGGCACGAACGGCGGGACTTCTGAGTTTGAAGTCACATTACAAAGCAAGGTGGCACTTCTCGGCCACGGTAGTTACATAGTTTTGTTCAGTGGACTATAGAGGGCAGAATGAGCCCAAGATATGGAGGTGGTAGGTGCCTGACAAGTTTGTGAAATGTGAAAGAATCGAGGAGTGATCGTCGCAAATTGCGCAAACGGAGTTTCCTACCTTCTCTATATATATATTATCATAGCGTCACAGCACACTCGCAGCGGCGAGTGCGGGAGCGTTCGGCGTTAGTTTTTACATAGGTTTTTATGAAGGAAAGTTGATATACAGTGACGCAACAGTGGAAACTGTAATTGAGAGGTACGGTAGTAGGGCCTATTTGTGAATGTGTGTTCATATTATTTTCTGACTCTGTCCCAAGTGCCTGTGCCTTTAAGTAGTATTTTGTATTCACGTCTATCGTATCTGTCGTTGATTAGGTGCACGCGAAGCTGGGCGAGGATCGTTGTGAGTTCTGCGGAATGTCGTTTGACAGCGACGCGCTGCGGCAGGCGCACGCAGCCAACGGCTGCCACCAGAGGGTGCCGCACCAGGACCGCGCGACGCCGCCCGGCGACGACCTCTACCGGCTGACAACGGCCGAGCCCGTGGCGCCCCCCGGCGGTGAGCAGGAGTTTGCGCTCGTCGAGACGTTCGTGGGCGACCGCATCCTCGTACTACCCGTGAGTTTCCACGGCGACGTCGGCGTCGCCGGCGTGTTCCAGCCGTTTGCGGCGGCGCCGGCGGCTGCAGCGGCCATGCCCGTGGCCCAGGATGGCGCGAACCCTGCACCTGCTGGCATGCAGCTGGAACAGCTTGTGAGGGAGTTGGGACGCGAGGACAGCCCGACGGAGCTGGGACTCTCCTTCGACGTCCATTACTAGACGACGGACTACGACTGTCGCTTGCCACTGAATCAACTGTGTCGTCTGCTATACAGATCTGATGGTGTCGGCTGCCATTGAATCAATAGTGTCGTCTGTCAGTGAACGAACAGTGTCGTCTACTATACAGATTCGATAATGTCGTCTGACAATGAACGAACAGAGTTGGGTACAACCGAAGAAACTAGCATGTGATAGTGATACAGAACCAGTAGCGAAAGCTGGTGTATGCTACAGATCTAGTGATAGCTGGATAGTGTTGTATGCTACACATCCAATGATAGTGTTGTATGCTACACATCCAATGATAGTGTTGTATGCTACACATCCAATGATAGTGTTGTATGCTACACATCCAATGATAGTGTTGTATACTACACATCCAAAGATAGTACTGTATGCTACACATTCAATGATAGTGTTGTATGCTACACATCCAATGATAGTGTTGTATGCTACACATCCAATGATAGTGTTGTATGCTACACATCAAGAGCTAATAATACCTAGAGTGTACAAGGAAAAACGGGAAAATAGTGCTAGTTTCACGACAA